GAAGGAGAAGAGGGGACACATGTTGATGTAGAAGAGACATGAAGAAGAGGGGACACATGTTGATGTAGAAGAGACATGAAGAAGAGGGGACACATGTTGATGTAGAAGAGACATGAAGAAGAGGGGACACATGTTGATGTAGAAGAGACATGAAGAAGAGGGGACACATGTTGATGTAGAAGAGACATGGAGAAGAGGGGACACATGTTGATGTAGAAGAGACATGAAGAAGAGGTTACACATGTTGATGTAGAAGAGACTTGAAGAAGAGGGGACACATGTTGATGTAGAAGAGACATGAAGAAGAGGGGACACATGTTGATGTAGAAGAGACATGGAGAAGAGGGGACACATGTTGATGTAGAAGAGACATGAAGAAGAGGGGACACATGTTGATGTAGTAGAGACATGGAAAAGAGGGGACACATGTTGATGTAGAAGAGACATGATGAAGAGGATTTTGCATAATAGGTGACCTTTAAAGTTAGTTTCNATGAAGAAGAGGGGACGCATGTTGATGTAGAAGAGACATGAAGAAGAAGGGACACATGTTGATGTAGAAGAGACATGAAGAAGAGGGGACACATGTTGATGTAGAAGAGACATGAAGAAGAGGGGACACATGTTGATGTAGAAGGGACATGAAGAAGAGGGGACACATGTTGATGTAGAAGAGACATGAAGAAGAGGGGACACATGTTGATGTAGAAGAGACATGAAGAAGAGGGGACACATGTTGATGCAGAAGAGACATGAAGAAGAGGGGACACATGTTGATGCAGAAGAGACATGAAGAAGTGGATTTTGCATAATAGGTGACCTTTAAAAGCCCAAAGGAATTATAAATCCTTTTTAGATCAGGAGAATGCAGGAAATCAGATTCTGCATAATTAAGTGTTGTGCACGTCTTGCTTTTCATGTCATCAGGGTTGAATAAGACATGAATGAATATGTCTTCTAAGGGGATTTAAGGTCCTTGTTGCACGTGGTGTGTTTTCAGGACTCCTGTCCACAGGCAGCTGATGGTGGCCATGCTGCTCCACTCCTCCTCTCCCCGAGTGTTTCAAGCTGCTACCAGTGCCATCTCAACACTGCTCACACACAACAGTGAGTCTCCAACACTATCATTGAGATTCAAGCAACTATAATCAACGTTTTTGAGCTTAACTTAAATGACAAGTCTTTTTAGTAGCCATGATATAAACCTGCAAAGAAAATATTAAATATACAGATGTCAAAAAATTCTCCAAATGTGAATTAAGTTGCCATAAGCCATTTTGGAAAGTTTTAGGTTAACATTTTATTGGATTTACCAACACAATTGTACATAAAGGTTTCAACAACTTTAGATTTTGAGCCTTTTTTAGTCAATACTTTTCCAGTGTGGGTCTAAAACATTAATGAAGTTTGTTAATCATCAACCATTCAAGATGGAGGTTGTTTTCATTTGATAAGAGAGAAAGACATCAGGGTTTATTTACAATTATACATTTTTTCTTTTTTTGTTAACTTCTAGGATATCTCGATGTTGTATTCTCAGATTGTTTGACCGATTGCAGGTTTATCATCCCAGGTTCAGCATGTTTTGTTGGCTCGTACAGTGAATGTCTGCCTGCTCTGTCTGCAGGTAAGATGCGCTCTCTGCTGCTGTCCAGTGGCCTTCATGTCAACTTAGTGGAGATGATGAAGAAACACTCAAACTCGGTTGAAGTTTCCATCAGCGCCTGTAATCTGCTCAAACTGCTCTTCCAGGGAAGGTGGGCAAAAACACAGTTTGTCCAATTTGGGGGTCATTAAGGGTAAAATGAAAGCACAACAAGGAGTAGACTTTTTCACAGATCGTCCACATTTGTCTCGAGTGCTTTTATTTTCAAACGTGTTTATTATGAAGTTATAATCTTCAAGGAATGATATTTTCTCAACCTGTGTCTGTGCGTCTGCAGGACGGCCAGTCTGGATGAGCTGACCATGGCCATGACTCAGATCCTGATCAGCATGAAGGTCCACAACTTCCAGCCGGAGGTTCAGCTGGAGGCGCTGCAGGCCAGCCTCGTCTTCCTCTGCCCAGGTGACACATCAGAGGTCACCTGACTAGGACATGTTGAAGTTATATGCTGATCTTTTCTAGGAATCCAAGGCAGAAGCTCTGGGTGCTGGTGTTCAACCTGCAAAGGATTTGTTAAAAGGGTGAAAGAAGCATATACTGTGAATTCACAGGTGTGGGTACGTGTAAAACCAAATGCACTAAGGCAGTGATGGAGAACAAAAATATGTTTGTATATTTTGACTGCGCAATAAAGCATGCACCTGTATTAACGAGGCAGTCTGACAGCAATCGAGCATCATCATAAATGGCATTAATATAAGCACAATAACACAAAATACATTTGAAGGTTTATTTGGTAACCTTTTTACGACCCGCCCTCTACTTAATGGTAGAGACTCATTGGGGAGACCCGCAACATAAAATACAACACAGCAAACAAAAGGAGGGGCCTGGGCCAGCCACACCACGGGCCGTAGGACCCAGAGCTTCCCTCCGCTACCCAGAAACCTAACAAATCCCTGCGGGAGAAAACAAAGCCGCGAAAACCTAGACTACCTATTACTCCAGCGTACATAAGACACAAAACATGGGAATCTACAGATCCTGAAGCAGTAAAAGGAGGAAGACCACGGAGAACCTCCTCCGGCGTTAAGATTGGGGAAGAGACTCTTCTCCTCCAGCTTCTGCTTTTCAAGTCCCCAGCTGAACGTAATTAGGACACCTGGGGGAGGCGGAGCCAGGGGCGGACCAGGTGTGTCTGTGCAGCAGAGAGACAGAGAGGAGGGGAGCACGTAACAAACCTCAACAGAAGCTTTTTTTTTATTTTATGAACAGCAGATGAATTCTAATGTTGCTATTCAATAATATATAATAACATTGTACGTGTGGGGGAAACTTCTGTAGCAATAGGAGTCAGGACTCAAAGAGACACGAGGAGAGCTGGAGCTTTGATGGCAAACACTGACGGTTTATTTGGAGCTTCGGCCGGAGACAAGTCCTAGAGCCACGATCCGACCACACGGGTTAGTTGCTACAATCAATTGTGAAGAAACCTTCCTCTCGCATGATGTTTGAACTGGTTTGGAGGAGGGTAATCCACATTCTTCACTAGATAGTCTAAACAGCTGGGGACAGTGGATTACTTGCAGTTGACGCTAATGGCCTCGAAGATTTCACACCTTGGAGTCATCAAGCCCCGAGAAGGAAGCGTTCCAAATGTCCCCATAACAATAAACTATGTTTGACCGAAAGATGCCCGGTCACAAACTGGCAACAACAACAACAAATGTCTGAAGCAGCCCCCTCCTTAAGGGAGATAACAGATGCCAAGGTTGGTCATAAACGTCAGAGGGCAAAACATCTATTGCCTAACGTTAGATCTTTGTCTTTCAATCGGATGTAGGAACCCACTGCTGCTGTCATAAATTGCATTTAATTGGGAATTCCGGCAATTAAGTCTAAAGGGAACAGCGCTAAACACAGACTTCGTGAAGGTCAATAACGCATCTCATAAACAATATCCAGTATTGTGTAAACAAAGCTGTTTCGGTGCTGCTTCTTCTCTGCTTTTAATTTCTATTACTGAGGTTACAGTGTCCTCTGTCTCCGCCCGCAGCACTGAACTCGTAACACTGCTAATGAGATTAGAGATGAGTGACAAAGGAGCGGCTGTGTGTGTGTTTGCCGCTCTTTCTTGACTTTGCATGGTGTGTTGAATTCCCAGACCGCAGTCTAAGAGAGCACGGCGTCTCTGTGGCAGACCCAGACATGGCTGACGTTTCCCTGAAGGTCCTGAAGAACCAGTGTGTGGTGGAAGGAGCTCACACACTCTACCTGGAGGTTCTCAACAGGGTATGAACACATGAACAAACCCTCTCTCGTATTAGGTCCATTTCCTTCCCGTCTTTATGCACTATCGTTCAATAAAATGCTACAGATATCCTAACACAAAGAGAATACTAAATGTCCCCCTAACAGGATTTAGTGTAGCAGGACAGTACATATAGTTCTCATTCATTACACGGATTAAACACAGCTCATCCATTCATTACAAACATTGCACAGTCGCTTGTCTTGCATATTAAACATCGGAGGAGTGTGTAATTGTAAATATTTCTGTAAAGAACGTGCCAGTAGAACGAATAGTTTGAATGGTGGACACGTTTTTTTGTTCCGACATGGTTGTTTCATCCCCCGCTGCCTGAAGGTGGGGGCGGGGAACGTTGGCAAAAAACACAAAAAATTCAAAAGCTTAAAAGGAATTATTTTATGTTTAACTTTGAGCAATTTTGCCATTTAAAGAATTATGTTACTAAATAAGATACAAACAGCTTTGACCATATTTTAACACAATGACTGAGTTTTTATTATTGATAACTATCTAAATGAAAAACGTAAATATATAAGGCAAGTCTTTATGAATGTAAAATAACAATGTAAATATTTGTTTTCAAAGCTGTTGCTCATGCAGTCTAATATAATAATTCTTCCTTCCTACCTTCATAAAACGTATAATGTTCAATATTGTTGGAACATACAGTAAAGTGGTTAAATCAACTTGTGTCACCAGAATGTACCTGGGGTCAAAGCATATTACATATTATATACACTGTAAGGTTTTCCCTCTTTGGTTCACGGACGGTACTTTAACATGAAATATGTTTAACATGATACTTGTGTGTGCAGTTCATCAGCACCGAGCTCATCCAGAGGAGTGGCCTGAAGGTGCTCTCCTCTCTGGCTGACTGCTCCGGTGCAGTGGACCTGCTCTGCCAGCAGGGGGCGATCGACACGGTGCTGCACACACTACAGATGTTCCCACAGGACAGAGGTATGGACATGAGTCAGAAATAATCATAACGTAAAGGAACTTATGTCACAAATTCCCAATTTCCTCACCAATAAACTATTCTGATTCTGAATCTAATAAGCCCCCCGTAAGGTGAATTTCCCCCTATGGGGTTCAATAAAGGTTAATCTTAATCTTAAACGGTACTTTGGTTTAATTTACTTTAGGAAATAGTAATTAGATCCCGGAAGAGTTCCAGAAGAAATCGGTTTCTTTGACTAAAAGTCTACTAAAAACTGAAATGTTCCCCATTTGAACATTTTAAACATTATATCAATATTAGAGAGGAGTTATCTTGCTTTTTCTAACTTCCCGTCTTCTTCCAGAGATTCACTTCTGGGGTCTGACGCTGCTCAGCTTCCTCGTGTCCAAGAAGAAGCTGTCGAGGATGATCGTTCCTGTTCTGGCCTCCGTCGTGGTCGCCTCCCTCCTGCAGTACAGAGACGACTCCGAGATGCACCTCAAGGTGACTTTAAAACGGCATACATGTTCAATATCTCTTTACATTTCGTCCTTGACAGCCTGTCGAAAATTAGCAGTTGACTGGATACTCTAAACAAAACTGAAACTCATAGAAATGAACTTTGTTTGCTTTATGAAGTAGAGTCATTATTATAACATTTGAACTGCTTAGAATCAAAGAAAAAGGTAGTCTTATTTCTCAGAATTAGAAAACAATAAATAACTTTTGCTTGTATATTTCCATATATGCGCGTTACGTTTTACATTAACAGTCTTAATGCTATCTAGTGATGTTACATGTTTATGTAGTTGCCGATGCTCTGCAGAAGCTCAGACTGTTGCACTAAGAGTAGACGGTGTTCACTTTAAGGCGAGTCTGTATATTGAGAATGTATTATACTTTACTCTCTAAGTGAAGCTGACATGACTTCTCTCTGGTGGCGTGTCCACAGTGTGTTCAGGTGGCGTTGAGGATGCTGGACGCCTGTTCAGGAGCAGCTGCTGAGCTGCAGAGAGAAGGCTTTGACAGACAGATCTTCCAACACCTCAGAGAGGAGCCGCCCGACCACTGCAACACTGCTGTGAGTTCATCTCGGCTGTTTTTATATTGTGTCTTCTCTTTCTCATCACAACAAGAGAACAAGAGGTACTCTTTATCCAAATCTCACACACACACACACACACACACACACACACACACACACACACACACACACACACACACACACACACACACACACACTTGATTGAATTCCTTTATCTTTCAAAATGAATGTATCTTCATGTAACTCAAGGGATTTTCAGTCTCATGTCCTTTGCTGTGTATCTGCAGACAGTCAGGTTCACTCTCAGGCCGTACCGTACACACACAGCAACACACAGCACAAATTGAATCTACAGGACATACCAGACATGCCTATTACATGTTCTTTACTTCCTTAGATAGCGTATTTGCTAGAAAGACTGGAAATACTATGCTAATTGAATAAATTGATTAGTAAAGGAAATGTTTAACTCCGTCCCCTCTTTCCCTCTGTGTGTGTGTGTGTGTGTGTGTGTGTGTGTGTGTGTGTGTGTGTGTGTGTGTGTGTGTGTGTGTGTGTGTGTGTGTGTGTGTGTGTGTGTGTGTGTGTGTGTGTGTGTGTGTAGCTGCGTAAGTCAGTGTGCCTGGCTCTGTCTAAGATGTGGTGTGACTACCAGCTGCACTGCAGTCTGCTGGAGAAGGCCTGCGAGGACGGAGACGCCACGTTGGCCGAGTGTCTGATCGAGCTGGGAGCCGACATCAACAGGAAGACCAAAACAGAGTCGCTCATCTACAAGGTCAGAGGTCACACAAGCTCACCGGCCTCCATGAAGGAAAATAAGTTCACTATGGGATTGTTTACCAAATTGAGTTACCCACAGGAAAAAGTATAGCATGCTAACACACTTAACAAACATTATACCTGCTAAACATCAGCATGTCAGCATTGTTATGTGACCATGTAAGCATGTTAGCATGCTGATATTAGCATTTAGCTCAAACACCAGCATAGCTACCTAGAGTTTAGTTTATTTTTATCGTAAATTGAATTGATCTGATATTAAGACAAAATAGGCGACCAAATATAATTTTTAAAGCATTACTTTAGGCACTGATAAGTTGTTTAGTGCATGTGTCAATATTTAAGATATCTTATAGACCAATAATGCCCTTTTTGTATTTAAATTGTATTCAACTAAACCCAGTACATCCATGAAAGCAACATACAAATACATACAATATTTAGCAAATGTATAGTTTGAATGCAAACAAACATTTGTAATCAAACTAGAAAACAATATTACAAATGTTATCAAGTATTTGATGCCAGATGTTGGTAATGGGCCGTCTTTGCTATTACATTTCAAACTCTACCAAATGAAACTGAATCACCGAATCAGTGCTATAATAGATAGGTTAATCAATGACTAGATGAACTTGATTTCAACCTCTCGTCTGTATTTGTCAGGTGTGTGAGCGTGGGGGGCCTCTGGAGCTGGTGGAGCTGCTGCTCAGCCACGGGGCCCACGAGCAGCACCTGCGCCGGGCCCTGGCTGTGAGCGTGAAGCGGGGCGAGGGTCCCACCGTCATCCAGCTGCTGGGCCGCCTGGGGCTGGACCTGAACAACAACGCCCTCTGCCTGGGGGGCTTCAGGCTGGGCCGCCTGGACGCCGCCTGGCTCAGCTCCCTGCTGGGGGAGAGGGGGAGGACACACAGCCTGCGATACAGAGACAGTAGGCAGCGCATTCATTACATCTGGGTTTTGGACAAAGAAATTAATTTGACCTTTCTGACTAAACTAAATGTATGTTTAAGAAAATGTATAAAGAAAGTGTAATTAGACGGTATGAAGTTGTGTTCTGGTTTTATGTTTCAGTATTTGTAAGCAACTGTAACTGAAAGAATATTGCTTTTATTTGACGTTTTTATGGTTCTTTCATTTTTGTAAGAAGGGGCAGGTAAAATAATATGTTCTTCTCCCTGCTCCTTTCCACCATGCGCGATCAAACAACCAGTATAAGTGTACAGGTTTTGTAAAGTGTACATGTTTTGTTTTAAAATAACTGCCATGTGTGGAATAAACAAATAAATAAACATAAAAAATAGTCACACATGGACTTATTAGTAGTTCGTATTCTTTCATTACGACTAATGATGATTTCATTTCTTGCTTTGTTTTTGGAAATTTCACCGATGTTGATTGCCGTTATACTTAGATATGTTTTTGTGTCCCGATTTTGATTTCCCGTTGGCCCAGGTGTCTTAAGGATTTGAGTGAGATTTGTGATTGATTCGATGAGATGTGAGATTTGATTTGGAGTGAGATCTGCTGTATTGATTAGGTGTGTTCAAATTGGGGTCTTTGTTTATCGGTTCATCGCTGCTGGCCGTAGACATGGATGTCTCGACACGACGAGAGCAGGGTCCTTCGAAACATTATTAGAGGTCCGTCCACACGCGGCCGACACGGCGACTGCTAACCCTCACGCAGCGCCGGGCCGCACGAAGGTTAGCGTTTAGAAGTCTCCGCCTGGTCCTCCTACCGTCGGTTACGGCCCTCCCGTTGGCGTGTCGGAGTAAATGTATCTTGTGTTGTGTCGCCTTTGTGAAGTCTGCTGGTCCCCTTCCGTCGTCGGGCATTGTCAGGGGTGTCTACTAACCTAGAAATGCAGCCCAATAACCTTCTTGATCTGTACGTGATACCATCAAAATATTGACGTCCGCTGGTGACACTCCTAGAGAGAGAGAGAAAACTTCACTTCAGTAGTGTGTGAGCTTACCATTGTAAGTCTTGGTTGAAGCTTTGACATCTGAAAATAAATAGAATTGGACCTTGTGGTACTCAATTAAGGCGTCAGGAGGACATGAGGTTAAGTAGACTTGAAGAAGGGTGTAGTTTTCTTCCACTGGAGCTAACCAAAGTCAGAAAAAGAATCTAATAAAGAGGAGTCAAGTCACACACCAGATTTGAAAGACTTAAGTACCGCATATCTAGACCTATTTCAGGGAAAAATTCGGACCTATGTAAACGACGGACAATTGAGTTTCCAGATTTGACAGTGAACAGGTATAGTTACATTGTGGGAATTAACACGAGACACATCAGCTTCACGGACAACAGAGAGGCTAGAAAGTGGTAGTGAGAGGTAGCAGCAAAGTCTCTTGTCCGAACAAGCAGGCGCCCTCTTCTTCCGGACTTCAACCCCTCAGCGAGCGAGAGCAGGTCTTTTCATAGGTCTCCAGTCCGTCGCCAGCGGGCCTCTAGACTGTCTCCTGGCGACCTATGAGACCTGGAGACCTTTAAGAATTACAATGGAGCGGTCTAGTATGGAGTGGAATTTCTGTCTTACCGTCCCCTTAAATCGTGTCCGACGTGCTGAAACTGACTACAACGTTAACTCTATACTAGGGTTACACCCTTCCCTCACTAGAAAAGCCGTACCAGATAAACAGAATTACAAAAATTATAATACTAGAAAAAAAATTTTCTCTTAGACATGGTTTATTTATTACAAAACCAATTCAGATCTCGTCACCAAGGGGTTTCACACCCCGCGCGGGGGGGACAACGTCATCTTTTTAAGGTTGACATCGCTGGCGCATGTAATTACCCTTTGGGATTTACAAACTCGTGGGAGATACTTGCCAGTTCGATGGGGGTGTCGTGGGAGTTTTCTTTAGAGACCCCGCGGCGGTGACTCGGACTGAACAACAACCCCCCGGGCTGAAAAAAAAAAGAGGTTTCCCCCCCCGGACTGTCTTTTTCAAAACCCTTGGTGACGAGAATCTCCTTATGTTCAAACATCCGAACCTGAGTCGGTTGAGGTGTTATGAGTAGTTTTACCTACACATAATGTACCAAATCGCAACTGTGTTCTATGACAGGAAGGACTTTGAACTTATAACTTGATCAGTATTATACGCTAAGTGATTTTACAGGTTTATTGAAACGTCTGGAATTTCTTTCATTCTGCCCCGACGTT